TCATTTCTTCTTCGTAATTCAAATGAATTCTTATTGGCAATGTTGGATACGCGTTAAGACACAAAGGTAGATAGATGAAAAAGTGAACAAAATGATGGAATATGAAAAAAAAAACAGTTTCAACGTTATGGTTTTTTTTCTTCTTCACTATTTTACTGTTGTTGATGTCGTCGAAGTTAGCAAAGCAACTGCTAGTGAAATTTCAGTTTTTTTTCATTTTTGACATAGAAAAGAAAATATTTTAGAAAATTTTTACCTTAGTAAAAAATTTTAAATTTACAGCAAATTTGCTGTTAGCTGAACCAATCATTTTGAACATATCTACACTGTCGATTAAGACACAACTGAAGAACTGAATCCATCGTCGAACAGTTGTAACAAAAAACTGACGATAGTTCCCTTATTATTTATACTAAATTTACGGCGACGATAAAATAAAAGCCAAAGCTACTGAGCACAGCACAGACTGATGGCTTTGCCCGGTTAGAAACACTAATTATGATATTCAATCCACAAGTATCGTCAACAACAATGGTTTTCGGAGCAAGATGGATGAAGAAACAGTAACCAGATGGTCACATAAAATTCAGATTCATTCTTCCTTTTTTTTTTTTTTTTAAGTTTCAATTGCTTCCGCAACTACAGTAATTGCCTCCCATAACCCATTGTGCTAATATTAGCAACTGTTATTCAGCTTGAAAAAAATAGCCATTTTTTCTTTTATTTGAATATTTTCTTCCTTTTCACAAAAACTTTAATACGATCTGCAAAAATAAGCTATAGTTTGTTGCAGTAAAATAAATTTCAACTTCTTTAAAATAAGAAAAAAAAGAACAGAGGAAAAACAACCTGCTATCTGCATCCACAGCTCTTTTTGTTTCAAAAAAAAAAAGCAATAAAAGAAATATCACCCCATCAAAAATATTTAATCTTCATTTCGTTCAACTTCAACTTCCTCCCACTCTTATTACATTCTGTTAAACATATCCTTCGACAATGACTAAAGTATTTCATCGTAATCCAGGTGACCAAAAAATTCTCAACAGTCCTTGGTTCTAAACTAACAATACATCACACTTCAATGACTACCAACTACGCTCATCTACACACCAGTACTACCTAGCTACTGCATCTTCACTTGCCATACCGTGAACAACAGTTACTGATTCGAACTGAATATACTTCAAAGAAAGAAGCAAAAACACAGACTTTTTAACACTCTCGAATAAACCAACAGGTCAAGTTTAACGTTAAAATTCCATCAGCATATCTACAGTTTATTAAGGAAGGCAATACAACTGTTAGTGATAAAATTCAATCTCAACAAATTAGCAATTCAATATAACAAACGAACAAGAATTACATAAACTACCGCTTCAACAGTTTTCAGATCCTGCTCAACAGCCACAGCTTTAAAAAAAAATAACCATACACTAAGATAAAATGAAGTGATACTGTGTCAAAAAGAAAAACACTATTTCAGCAACTGCGGACCACCAAAATTAAATGAAGTTTTTTACAAATTACTAAGTATCAAAAAGAAAGCCACCTTGTTTTGAACACTTAGAGAACAAGTGTTTTTACCGTTTACTTATGCAACAAATGGGTAAAAAATTGCCAGTCATCAAGGCATAAATGTCAAGAAAACACTTGTACAAATATGAAATCCAACGCAGACACTTATAAAACAAGCTAAATGAAAAAACTACTAAACAACTAAACTGCCAATCAAAACCTAGACTTTTTCACCTTTAATATTAAGCAGTTCCGCCAATTGTTACAGAAATATTGCCGGCAAACAAAAAATTAAGATTTGACCCTTCGCTCTTCCTACTTTCAAAAACGCTATACAAAATCGTCTAATAAAGCACATTTTCTTTGCATACAAGTGTCTCAAAACCTAAATATAATTTAACAGCAAAATTACCTAAACAGATACAAAAAAAAAACCAGACAGCAACGAATTGTCACACTTATCAGTTAAACCAACTTTTTCCCATCTTCAATGCAAAACTGTACTGAAAAACTGCTGAAACAGTCATGAAATACACTGTCACTGTCCCAAACGCAACATGTTTACAAATCCCTAACCATGCAACTTGAACGAGAATGTAAGAAAAAAATTCTGGATACGAACAAAGACAAAGACTAAAAACCATTAAAAGACATCAAAATACTTGCAAAAGACACAGCAACAGAAGATGAGTTTCCCTTAATTAAAGCGCAAAAGCACTGAAAATCCTGTAATAAAGAATTAAAGTAGAAATAGACACGTGACGCTGACTTCTACGGTGTAATTTACAAAGTTCAGCAACCTGAGAAAATACAGATTCTGGGAAGTTCCACTAAACTCACAGAGCAGACAAGTTAAAAATAGGAGATCCAAAAAAGCCAAGCTATTGACAAAAAATCAAAGTTTTCTGCAGTTAATTTGCTCGAAAACTACAGTCTAATAAAAGTTTTTGCTGAACAAATTTAGAAAAGCTTCACCAAACGTTTTTTTCCAACGTGAAATGAGCCGTCTTTTTGAGCCAAAAAAATATTTGGTTGAAATATTCGTGGAAAACTTGTAATCCATAAATATGTGCTTTATTGATTCAAAAGTCTGATTTCCAAATACGAACTGAACGATCGTTTTCTAGAGAGCCAGATGCAATAATATTTTGAGATGGATGACAGTCCGTACATATTACTACATCTGCAACAAACGAGTATGATACAGTATAAAACTATGCTAACATAAAACACTATTACATATAAAGATAAAGGTTTGAAACATAAATAAATTCAATACCAGTATGGCCTTCTAAAGTTTGCACGATCTCCTTCGACTGAAGATTCCAAATGTAAATTTTGTTGTCTTCCGAACCACTTACGATCCACTAAAGGCCATATAAGTTTTCAAAAAATCAAAATTACTATTTAAAGCTAAAAATTGGTAAAAAAAACAATAAGTACACTACAGCAAAGCAAACATGTCTAGCTAGCACGAGAAAAAAAATAACACAGATTAATCAGAAAATCAATTCAAAATAACAAAAAAAATTTTACCTTCCCACCAGTCACTGAAAAGTTGGCAAAAATGCAATATTTTTCATTGACATGCCCTGTATATGTTTTTAAACACCGAGCTTTATTAAAATCCCACAACTTTAATTCGCTGAAAAAGCAGAACCACAAGCCTTTGAATCAAAGTAAAAAAACTAGGTTGAAAAGAA